GTATTAGCAGTTCCTGCAGCAGCAAGCTCAGTTCTTGCTGCTGTGCTTTCTGCTCAGAAAGACCTTCCCATCACCTGCTCAAACTCCTACCGGTTACTGAGGACTTGGCTCCTGAATAGTGTGCCCTGCGCCCCTCTAGTATGTGGTGCCGCTGCCTGCTTGGGCCATGCCCTTGGTGTGCCTATCACAGTAGTTGCCCCGTGGAGATCGTCATTCATGTTCTGGTCTTTGTGGAACACTGGACTGTAAGCCCCCTGAGGGCAGGGCTGCAACATACCTGTGTGTCCCCTGCTCCTGTGGTTTGGGGCTAGGCACACAGGTAGACAGATATTTCTTCATTGAGAACAGACTCATAAACTCCTGCTTCCTTTCTGTCCAGGTGGTGCTCTAGGAAAGTTCGAGACTTATGGTGGCAGGGGATCCCTCCCAGTGTGAGAGGCAAAGTCTGGAGCTTAGCCATTGGCAACGAGTTAAACATCACCCATGGTGAGTGCTTGCATTATCATAGGCTTGGGAAATTTCCCCCCAACCCACACCCACACCCCCTGGGTCCTGTGGCTTCTGTCTCATCTGCCCTGCTGTTAGGAAGAAAGGACACCATTGCCATGAAGCTGTGTCTTTTGAGAGTCCAGGTGACTCTCCTCCAGGAGGGAGAGACTTCAGTTACCTGGCAGTTCAGAGAAATCCCTGCCTTTTTCCTGAAACCTCTCGTCTTCCCTGAGGAGACACGGTAGCACCAGGGAGGTGGGCCTGACATCATGTCACAGCATCAGTGGGTGGGTCACATTAGGATCTCTTCTCAGAGTTCTGTGGGGTGCAAGCCTGATCTTGACATGAGGTGCTAGGGCGGTGGTTCTTTCTCTGAGGTGCAGATCGTATTTGGGGTACTGTTGCTTTATGTGGCATTTTTTCTAGGCAGCTTATATATAAGCACCTGTAGAAGGGCAGCACACTGCACCCGACTGGGTGCTTGAGGTTCTAGTAGCCTTGGTGTAGACGGGAAGGTGAGATCCGGAGTCACCTTTCCTAGGGCTGGCTGTCTTGCCCTGTGAGTTCACTCAGTCTGTGTGTGCCTCTCCCCTGCCTGCGTGCCCTGCACTCCCTCCTTCTGTGCCTGGCACTGTGTGCCCGGGTCGAATCAGGCCAGGAGCTCACGGCCTTGCAGTTATGTGCTTAATAACTGGTGGTGGTTACATTTTACTTTTTTCTTCCTCCCTTCTCATCTCCATGTTATCCCCACCCAGTAAATGCCTGTGGAATCACTGGTAGATCGAAGGCCTTTGAGTCGAGAGGAGGCAATTTGTATCTCCTCTAAGTACCTGGGCTTCCTGTTACTATTGTTCTTACCCTGTGAGACTCAACCACCCCACGGTTGCAGCCGTGGCTAGTCGCTGTGCTCTGTCTTAAGTAGTGCCACCTGGTTGGGTGGGTGGGGACTGGCTTCTGTTGGAAGTGACCTCCTCATAGCTCCATTTTTGGCTAATCTGTACCTGTCAAAAATTGAATATCTTTACGTGAGAAGAAGTATAACAGTTAACTTGTGAAATATGTAGTTTTTTAAAAGCATTCTCAGAAGTAAAGGTTTGGAGAAATTGCTGAGCAGTTACTTCAGTCTTTGTTCTGAAAGTTTTCTAAACTATCAACAATTCTGTCTAAGTCTGTTGAGTGTGGTGCAGAGTAGCATGTGTGCATGTGTGTGCGCATGCTCAATTTTTGGTACTCACTGATCGTGGCTTTTATTTATTTTAAAATATGTTTGGGTTGGTTTTATTTAAATTAAAATGTTCTATGGACCATATCAGTAGATTGGGCTAAACAGCTAATTAATCAATTCCATGTCATGAAAGTTTGTCTAAATCCTGATACTGGCTCATTTTACTTAAATTGCACCTTTCTTGTATGATCAGCTGCCAGGTGTCAGTTGCTTCCACTGTTGTGCTTGGGAAGCTGGAGCCTCGGCTGTCCTGCTCTCCACTCTGTCCCCATGCCCAGCACAGCTCTCCGCACACGGCAGCCTTCAGGAAGAATTTGTTGGGTGGGTGGATGGATGGATGCCACCTTACTGGATCCTACTGATCTCTGTTTCACTGCATACTTAAGCTAGTATAAGAATACAGGTGATTTTGAAGTCCAGAGGTTGAGGCCAGGCACCGTGCTTGGTTCTTACTTATGTGTCTTTTTTGACAATGACAGCAGGTATTGTTGACCTTGTTTTCCTTTGGGAAAGGTGAGCATCCTGGAAAAGGGATTATGGGCCGCCCCAGCCTCATGGCGGGTGTGGTAGAGCCAGGGTCCCAGTGCTAGCCCTGCCAACTCGAGCCCATGGCCGACTTGGGAAGCCCCAGAGTTTTGCTCTTTTTGTGGTTCTGCAATTGGAAACTTTTACTGAAAGTCACCCCAATAGTGTTAAAACTTCATTCTCAGGAAAGCCAGCCTTGTACTCTGGAAATGGGTCTGGGAAGAAGGTGTTCACTGTCCTAACATCCTCCGCCCCAGCCCACACACACACGCCAGTAAAGCCTGGAGATAGTTTACCCCGAGGCAGCCAGCATCTGTGCATTAGCTGTCAAATGCCTCATCTGGGAAGTGGTTCCCAGGAGGCAGGGGCCCGCCACACACTTGTTTTCCTTCATCTCCTACCAAAATGATCAAGGCTGAGCCCACCTCCTGGAAGCCGAGAGCAGGCAGAGGCTCCCAGACCCTCTAGCCTCCAGCTCAGCACTCATGAGCATCGAGTTACGATGCCCTCTGCCGTCTGGTAATGGTGATAAGAGGAAGTTGTATTTCATAGTGTACCTTCTTCTGTCTGGCCAACTAGCGTAGATTGTAAGTCGGGTCCTACGCAAGGCTAGAAGAGGGTCATTCATCAAGATGTTACTTGTTGGAGCACAAAAGACTGTGACTTATATTTTAATAAATTAACATGCACTGCCTGGAAGGCAGGTGTGCTCTGCTCTTTTCCAAAAGTAGTGATGAGAAAGGGAAGTGATAAGAATCCTCTGGGTAACTGCAGTTCAAGTCAGTGATCGTTAGTGACCCAGGACTGCGGTGGTTGGGACGCACAGAGCCTGAGGGGCCTTGGCACCGGGGACTGGGTGGGCAGGGTCTCCCTGGGCTCCGTCTTCACCTTCATTTTCGCCCCGGAAGAAGGGCTGGAGACACCCATGGAGGGCTGTGTGCAGTAGTAAAATTTGTGAGCATGAGTTGTTTCACTGTCATTACCAAACTCCCCAAAGAGAAGGATTACTGAGGAAATAGGCCCAAGTGTGGAGGCGCTCGTGGGGGACCTGTCTTGTACTTCTCTGCCACAGGGTCCCTTTTCTGGAAATGTTTGCCTGTTTTATTTATACCCCTCCCTCATTCTGGCGCCACGGGGATCCGACGGGCTCTGCTGGCCTCTCCCTCCCCTCACCAGGCAGGTGGTCATTGGCCGTGTTGGCCTGTTTGCTCTGGATGCACATGTGGAGGCGGGACCCTCGCGGTCCTACCCCGAGGAGCTCGTGGTCTGGCAGAAGTGATGGGCTCACAAACCAAACGCTGCCTGGGTGGGCCCTGCAACAGAAGTGACTACCAGGCACTGTGGTGCTTTGTGGTTCTGTCTTTGTATATGGTGATGTCTTTAGACAATAGAAGGACCTCTGGCCACGTTGGGGGTGAAGTAGCCTTAGTAAGTGTGCAGTCTGCAGTTGAACTCTCGATACTCCGATGCGGCAGTGGTGTTTCTGAGGTGACAGGTGCTCACGTGTGCATGGGACGCTCAGCCTGAGGCTTTTCTTCCAGAGCTCTTCCACATCTGCCTCGCCCGAGCCAAGGAGAGGTGGCGGTCCTTCAGCACAGGCGGCGCTGAGGTGGACAGTGAAGGTAGGCGCTGGGCTGGCGGGCGCTCTGGCCAGTGGTGAGCGTAATCACCACCTAACGGGGGTTACTTAACTCAGGTAGTGCTTGGTGTGAAGTTACAAAAAACTTCATGGAAGAGGGTGGTTTATTAGATCCTTGCCCAGGGATATGTTTTTATTAATTTTCAAAGAGGAATGGGGGGAGAGAGAG